CATTCTTTTCTTTTTTTCGTAATAATACAAATTTGATTACGTAATTGTTGTTTTAATATGTCTCGTTCTGAGGTCCAACAGCGGGCGTTTGTTAACATGATATATATACTTTCGAATCCCGTAAATTATCCTGGGTATCCACATGCAATCAAAATATAAAAAATAGCATTCGAGATTCTCACTTCTTCACGGCGGTGAGTACAAAGTCGACTGTCTTCTGAGTTGATGGAAGTTTACCAACGTTTCAGAAGTCATTGCTGCACCCATCATCAGGGCGATCACGCTGATGATGGAGGCATCAAGCACCTCTGAAACGTCGGTATACTACCAGAAGACAGTCGACTTCACTTGTATTCTGCATATGTTAAGCGACGCGGACGCTTAGCTGGTGGGTTTTATTTCAAAAATACGTCATTTCCCATCTGGTAGTGAACGACCTCCTCAGTTGCGTTTTGTTCTATCGGCGTAGCTTTGTGTCTCCCTCGTGTGACCGTCTAGTGCTCATTTACGCTCACTGTGCGGTCCTCACTTAAGTCGTTGTTACTGTTCTCAAAGGGTAATTGACTTTATGTTGTCATAGTAACTGTGGATGAGAACCATCACGCCCCTTAAAGCTGGTTCACTATTCGCATAGCGCCAAGTAACATACCGGTATCCGAAATAATGTTTTATGTTACTATATTAAACATGAATTAAACATATAAGTGTAATGTAGATCGTGAAAATGTTAACCTCGCCGCCCTGCCACGTAAAAACTTCTTTCTTATAATCTGGTCACATAGAATTCTGTTTGTAAGTTCATTTGGGATCTACATAAGAATTGTGGGTTGTTTCGTGTTCTGGTAGAAACACGCAAAACCAATTATTAATTCACTGAAATAGACGTACTTCGAAAGCAGGAGTTGTTCTGTTTTGTAGCAATATTTCTCTGATGTCAGAAGACAATAAGGGGAATTTTGCACTAAGACTAAGTGGGAAATTCCCTCCCGGGGAAATTCCCAGAAATTCAAAGATGTTATATAAAGGTCAACTCTGAAAAATCTCAACTTGTTTTAATTATACCTATTAACCCTTTATATTAAAGAGACAGAATTGTCATGTTGTGAGCGCGTAATAAGGTCACAACGCTACTAAGCATTCCTTTATCCAGAAACAGCGAAAGGTCACGAGGCGAAAAGAACTTACCAGACTTACGGTGGAAAGAAAATATGTAAAAGTTATGGTGAATAGTGGATGAGGAAACCGTCAAGCATTTAACAAAATTAAAGGCAAAACGAGTCCTGATGATCGAGGCAAAGGCAAACAGAGAAATTTTAAATTGAATAAATGCAAAGCAAACACTCGGCAGATCACATAACGCAAACCTTCAATGATTAGTCAAATTGCCAAATAGTTAACGACGGTAAATCAGAAGAACCACGTGTCATTTATTACGCGATTTCATGTATTCCGATCAAAATTCGGTATGCATTTCTCAGCTCTTCAGTGTGAGACACAAGTCCCGCCCATCTCATTTTATGGTTACGAAAACCCAAAGGGCTGCTCCAATCTGGTCTCCAGGGGCTGCAGCTCGGGAGAACAAATGACATGGACGCTGGAGTATGCTTTACAAGGCGGCGTCGTGCTATAGATCACAATCGTAGTACGTCGACGTTGCCACATCCACGGGAATCCAGTGGAACAAATCGTGGATCGTCTGCACGCAAAACTGTACCGGGGCCCGACTAAGGACAAGGCATGGTGAGTTTTCTGGTTCTCACGGCGACGAGCATAAATATGGTTGCGCCGTGATCATCGCCTTGACGATTGAGGCAGCAAACACCTCTGAAACGTCGGTAAACTCCCACGGCGTAACAACCCAGAAGACAATCATCTTAAAAGATAATTTGTGTTAAACTTTATTTGTGAAAATGAGTCTTTGTAATTGTAAAACAGTCATACAAAGATTCGACTTGGCCTTCTGAAGTCGAAGCTGGCAAACATTTAAGAATTCAATCCGTACCGCAAAGAAAACACAACAATTCACCAGTACAAAGATAAACATAGAATTACTACTGTTTTAGGAAATAACAAATCACACTAAGTCTTTAAATACAAAGCGTAGAGTTAGTGAATGCTAAAATATGTGGTATATATAGTTACCACTTAGCTTTAAAGGGCAAGCAAGCGAAAGTACCTATGGACTTTACCATGTACCTACATTTATCTGTCTGTCCGCGAGAAACCACGGCTTTATATTGCAATTTGATGCTACGAATTCGTCTGTGGCAAATAAAACATTTAGCGCATTTTATGAAACTTGTTACTGAATGTTAAAATGTATCGTTAAATAGTGTCTAGTTGAAGAAATATTTGCATAGCATGTTTGTACAACACAAAGAAACAAAACATTTTATCTTATTCTACGTCATAAACATTCAAACCATTGCGTAGTAAAATAGGTGTCAAAATGACAAGGACTTACGTAGTTTCTAGATACGTATTCTCAGAAGCAACCGGATGTTATTTATTCCAAAAGGCTGAATAACAATTCCTTAACTTTTTATAAAGCAATACAGGAAAAACAAAATAACTCGTTTAGCTGGCTCCTTTGTAACGCAAATTGATATGAAGCCGCTGTGGTGTTTTGCACACAATAGCATATTTATTCCTCTGACAGAAAAATAAATGTAATATATAAACAATAACTCTGTTGTCTTTTTTGCCCGATGTGAATAATATATGTCAACATAATTTGAAAAAATAAATTCTGTAAGTCTTGAATTACATTATCGAATATAATATAACCAAACACGTGTCTGACCTACTGCAAATAAATAATTAAACATTTCACTTCTACGTTATTTCGTGACGAGTATTACTCAAACACACAATTAAGACTTCACTTAAGTTGGATCAAGAAAATTCATCAGGATATCGTGCGTAAAACGTAATTTACTTAAATAAAGATGCAATGACACAGAATTTTCTCTCAAAAATTAGAGTTTTTTTTTAAAAAAATAAATAAAACAGAAGTGGTCATTTGACTGTTATACGTACAATAAATGTGAGAAATTGGACAAAATGGCTGAAGGATTGTAAATTTTAAGGGGTGAAGAGGGTATTTGAGAAATAAAGACAGGACAGGAATATGTTAATTCAAAAGACTTTTCCACTAACGTAATTTAACGGCGAACAGCTTATCGGCTGTTGGCGTAACTTCAATTTTTTTATGAAACAACTTCTGCCGTTTTAAAACTGCCGAGTGAACCCGAAACTTGTCTAACAACGAGGTAACTCTGACAAGGCCTTATCTACACCAGATTATATCAATTCTCCTGTCCGTACAAGATAACCCTTGTAATTATTGACAACCGCTTGTCGTGGCCACTAATCTACTTCACTTGCCGCTTGGTCCGGATACAAAGCCCCGCTTTCAGGGTGTACCCGTCTCCATCATCAGGGCGATCATCGCCCTGATGATGGAGGCAGAATGTTCCTCCGAAACGTTGGTATCTACCTACATGTCCAGGTCGCTTCACAACCCCGAAGCCCAACATCGACTTCCTATCGATAAAACAGGATTTATCAAACAGTTACGATTCTCAGTACCCACGTATAAAATATTTAGAAAGTTTATTTGCTCACCAGATGCCATCTGCCGTGGAGAGTAGGCATCACCGGTCTCCGAGCGCAACAGAGCCACCTGTCAACAATCAAAAGAGTTTCTTCGATCAATTATTATGAGGAACCTGTCGACTTTACATGACAATGCTATTCAAAGTAAGTTAAAATAAACTTAAGACGGAGATAGGACTTTCCTACGTGAAACAAAGTTCCCTAACTTTGTAGTTGTTCGTCTTGCTAAGATATCAAGGATGGATTTCGTTCTCACAATAGAACAACGAATGAAAACAGCCATTTTGTGATGACAATGCCCAGTAAGTCTGTCCTACAAATATCTGAATCTTACGGTAAATTTAACAGAGTTGTTTATTATCCGAGTAACTATTCTGGACAGATTCCATCTTTACAAGCTGACTGTCGTTCAGCTATTCAAAAAAAGTCGACTGCCTCTTATCGACCGGTCAGAGATTCCTACCCTGAGGTACATGAACACAGTCCAAGTCTTTACACCTTATTTCTTCCTGATCCATTTTAATATTATCCTCCCATCTAAGTCACCGAAGTTACCCATTTTTTAAGTTTTCAGACAGAAATTTATAACAATTTATTATTTTCCAATGCATGCTACATGTTGCGCTCATATCACTCTCTTTGATTTCATCACCCCAGAAATATTTGTTCAGTGGCGCATATTATGACATCGTTAATCATTTTCCTCCATCATCCTTGTTATATCCCCCCCTTACTCAGCTTCCGAATATTTTTTCAGCTCCTTATACTCAAACACACTCAATCTGTGCTACTCCCAAAGAGTGAGGAACCAAGTTTAAGAACAACAACTACAAATTTTTATTTTTTTTTTCGGACAGGAGACGGGAAGACAAAATATAATGAACTGACCGGTAGCAAAAATTACCCGAATTTAATCTGTTCTTAATTTCTTTGTAACGTAATTCGGATTATAACACGTGTTTAATCAGACTCAACCAAGTCACAAATGAGTTGCACACAATTTCCAATAACATTTTAGTTGAAATTAAACAACCATAACCACAAAAAAACATCGATTACGTTTCAAAACAGAATACAAGAAATGCACAACTCAGAGCTACTATCTTCTGGGTTCTAGAGCCATGGCAATCTCTTCGAAGTTTACCAACGTTTCAGAAATAATGTTGCTTCCATCATCAGGATGGTTGTCAACTCAGAAGAAAGTATATTTCATACTCGCCGCTCTGAGAACATCATGTCGAACTCGAAGCTAGTAGCTAAAATTCGGCCCTCGTCAATAAACTCCACGTGAACGGCGTGGACAAAAATTATGGTACACTTCGACTCGTACAACGCGGAATGAGAAATCGACAGTACACAACTTGCACACGTAAAACAGACGCGCGAAACGGAAATCAATTTTGTTCGGGCAATGAAAACTCTAACACGTGTTTGCAGCTCGAGTCAGGCATCGATTTTAGCAATAACTTGCCTGTGTATACCACTCAGGGACTCAGAAGGGGTCCAATAAGGTGTACAAAATTAACGTTAATCGTTTAATTCATAACTATTTGTAGGCCCTGATGATGGACGCAGCAAGGACCACTGAAACGTCAGTAAACTTCTACATTTTATATATGAAGAATATAATTAATCTAAGAAAAACCACGAAGAAAGGAGACCTAAGATTCAATTCAACTAATTTTGAGCGCAATACAGGAATAACAGAGTAAAGTTCATAATTGACTAAGTTCTCAGAAATAACTCTAGATGGCAATCAATTTAACTAATTTTGAGCGCAATACAGGAAAAACAGAGTAAAGTTCATAATTGACCAAGTTCTCAGAAATAACTCTAGATGGCAGAAGGGTCTATTTTTTTTTCAAGTGTTGGTAACATTTGGCAGCTTTTAGAACTATTTCTAAAGGAGACAATAGGCACAAAATTGATAATATTACCAGCAAAATAATTCAACGTGTCTTTTACACCATTTACAAAATAATTCCGTATTCGGGATTCAGTGACCTCGCCTACAAATTAACTCCTGCCTCGTAACAGCTTTCAGTCTTTCAAGGATCTGACTCCATCTTCTGTTTCTCCAAAGTAAAATGCATCCAAGACTTCCCCAGGAATAACTGTTCTTAGTTTCAATTGTTACTGTAACAAACTTTGCTACGTAATCTACCAAAGAATTGCCCAATACCCAGTTTCTTTTAATGGATGGCCCATGTCAGGTAGTCTATTAATAGACAACACTTGTTCCATCGATTATTCCATATGAATGCGCACTGTTAAGAGAGTTTATTTATGGAACAATGGCGGCTTCATCACGCAGCGCTGATGTCAGCAATTTCAGCGAGTTCCCGTTTGTCTGTGTTGTGTGATAACAACGGGAAGTTATAGTCAGTCGAGAGTCAATTAATGACGAAACTCAAAATGAAAATATACTTGCAACTGACCAACTTATATCACATCATTTGTATGTGCCTATAATTCACGAATATTATTAACAATGTAAACCACTGTTCAGAAAGGTCAACACAGCGTTCACGCGCCACTGATTTTCGACTTTAACAACTCCACGTTCTTTGTTACCTCTTGCATCATGGGACAAAACATTTTATGTACAACATCTAATATTACGACATTAAAACGTATTGGTTTCATATAAATCCGTTTAATATTTAAATATGCATATTTGTTACATGTTTTATTAAAACAATACGAAAGATACATATAATTAAATACATAAAACAGTGCGAAATATAAAACATAAGACAATAATTGACGAAGTTTTTTAGGTTATGACGCCGTGAGAATCTAATGTCTCAAGATAATCATTTGAGAACATTACTACAATGTCAAATAAAACAGTTTATAAAACAGCTAAATTTTAAATATTCTTAACACGACTTTTATAATAGAAAATAGCGCAGTGACTAAGTAGCTACAGTAAGTATGACCTGAAGATGTCGAAACAAATCGCCACGAGGCGACATAGCGTGATATTAAATGATAGTTGAGTAAATGGAAATAATAATGAATATAATTTATAAATTATGATTTTTCACAAAGTATTATCAACATTAAAATAACTCAGAGGGTGAGATTGGTAAGACGTGTAGCACACATCAAGAAGATAAGGAATGTACTAGTCTACAAAATTTTACTATGAAAAACAATGGAAGGAAAAGACCTCTTGTTAGACCTAAGTATAAACGGGAGGATGATATTGCACTGGTTGTGTAGATTCGACTCAACTAGCGGGACGGGGTTGCTATAAACTGGACTGCGTGCGTTAGACAGTGGTGAATGGATTGAGGAGATGATCATGACTGTAAGAAGGCAAGAATTCTGGATGAAGATAATGAGATTCGAGTCGGTATCGTCCGAACAGAACTCTGCAGCTCTATCGATACACCAACAAATCGATTAAGATGATGACGGCGCCACGGCCAAGGAACTTTTGCAAAACACTGTTCATACGTGACAAGACATTTATGCGTAATACGAAAAAGGCCCCTTAACTTCTCAGCCATACCGTGACTCCTATTAGTCAGTCTCGCAGTGTCTCGCGTATTGTAGTTGCCGAAACTATCGATATTAGTTTTTACGTTATCGATACGCGTATCGAATTCTCGTTGTATTTCCGATAGTCGATTGTACTATTCTGGTCTATTGTCCGAAGGCATGTGTGTGGAAAGCAAACTTTTAAATAAATAAAAAACTAAAGAATTGTAATTCACAGATTCAACGTAGTAATATACGGAAAATGTATGAAGTCGAATTAATTAGTGATCGGTGTACTTAAAATCTCGATAGACTGCCAAAGACATACGATATTTAACTCAACTGAGGTTTCGCCAGCAGACAGATTTCGCGTTCTACAGTTCTAAAACTATTCACATTACGTAGAGACGAAATTACTTTTATGGTAACTTTTCCTTTGGCCTCGATGTGTTCCTTTGTTGTTAATATAACTGTTACTTACATGCAACTTTATTCACGAATTCAAACATTATTCACTATTATTTCCGAAAAAGAATTACTACGATTCCACGAACGAAATTATTGAAGGAATTCAGTTCAGATCTAACAATGACCAACATTACTGTCAGGCTATTCATATTAATAATTATTTATATTTAATATTTATGTCGAACAAATCACATTTTTATCTTAATTACATTTACATTTAATAACACGTGCAAATGTTTGTATGTTTCCTTTAATAAAGCCGCTAATTTCAAACTGCCTACCATACATGGATTATATTTGCCAGCCAACTACTCCCTATACTGGGCCAGATGAATCCAATCCAAAACCCTCAATACTCTTTCCTTAATATCCATTTAAATATTATAATCCCAATTTATGCATTTGTCTTCGGAGTGGTAAAGTTTTGACGGATACGACCCCATCATTATGCGTTCATTTTATGTACCTCGAGTAACAATAAGAAATATTGTGTAAATCGTGTAACTATACACACATCATTTAGCAAGTAACAGTGTTTATACAATGAGAAATAATATAGACGTATTTACGTCAAAAACTGCAAATTGCATTTCTGCAGTACATTATTCAGAATTTCATCGCATTTAAGCAGAATTTAAAGCCCGGTTTCTCAATTCGAGGTGACCTGAATGCATCATAAAAATTACTACCACCAAACTCGACATTGCGTCAACAAATCGTATCGTAAACTGCAGAAT